TTTCAGGCTCCTAGCACTTTACTTAAAATGCTAGTTATCCCTGCTGGCTCTTACCACCAAGGATTAGATTCAATGTGGTGAAAGTCACTGAGCACAATAGAATCAAGTTATTAGCATTGACTCAAATTTCATGACATTTGTAGTTTCTGACCAAAGCAGTGGTAGCAGGCTGAAGGTGATCAAATCAAGTCTTAATGGAGAATGTTTTTTTCTCTTGGAGTTTTTTATTTCATCATTCTTACATCTTGCAGTTAATAAACAGGTACCAATCCCCACTGGTCTGTAATCATCCTTTGGTCAAATGTCAAAAAGTTCTTTCATGGAAACAAGAGACCAGGAGAGAAACGCTATCACATGAAAAGAAACTTCCAAGATGGAAGATAATCACAAAACTCACTCAGGCTGAGAAAAATACAAGCCTTAACTCTGATTTTCTGGAGTGGAAGTTTGGGGTGACAAGGGCTTAGCAGCTTCCTTGGCAAGTCTTCCCTTCTAAGTCAGACTCGCCAGGATCACTGCTCTTGGCCAGGTTGGTGACAAAGTTCTGGACAGTGCTAGAGTTAGAGAGGGAACTGAAATGAGAATCTCAGATCAGCTGCCACAGGCAAGAGTAAAAACAGTTGATAAATTCTCTAAGCAAACAAGAAAGGAAGACTGGGACCTGAGATAGCAGCTGGAAAAAACAATGACCTTTTTTTAAAGTAAAACTTTTCAATTATAATAACCGCACTGTCCTCATTGAAATAACAGAAAGGATTGAAAATAAAATAAAAATCATACAGAATTCCTCTCCCCCCTCCCCATCACAGATCACTGTAACATTTTGGTGCATTTCTTCCTAGATTTCTGCAGATGAGTGTGTAAACACATTTAATTTTTATGTTATATATATACATACTTTTGGTTTATTTTTACAAAAGTGGAATTATACAGTACATAAATCTTATGGACAAGTTACTAAAACCTCTTGAGCCTTGGTTTACCAGTCTGTGAAATGGAGTCAATGATACCTGCCTTACAGGGTTTCTGATCACAGATGCGAAGGAGATGGCCCAGTAACTGGGGCGTAGGGGACCTTCACCACTGGCAGCTGCTGTGATCGCTGATGGTGCTGACAAAGCATTTTCCTCTCCACTGTTCTGGGAATGTAAGTTGCTGGTTTTAACCTAGATGACAATTTAGCAACCAAAACTTTCCAAGTAACAGAAAGCTAAAGTTGTACTATTACCAATCCCTGCACACAGGAACCCCTGGGCGTTCCTACCTACACATCAAGACACACAGGCAAGTCACTCCCAGCGAGAACCCTAAGGTTTCCCTTAGAGCACATGTCTGCACCAAGTGTGTAGGGAGTCATGAGTATCCTTCTGTGTGAGGCCCCTCAGACGGGTGTGGTGGCCAAGGGACCTATGTCTGTGTATGTGCCTGTGAGGGTGCTATATGTTGGGGGGGTGGCAAGAGGACTAGGTGCTGCCACTGTGTGAGTATGTCTTGGGAAACATATACCCCCATTTTATCTTTTCTATTTTTCTCATTCTCTCTCCTCCACCTTCCCTAGGTTTGTATTTTGTTCTTTCTTCACCCCCTCACTGTCCTGGCCTCCTCCCTCGTCTGTGCCTGTCTATGTCCAGCCCATCAATCTTGCATTCAAACAGCAACAACAACACTACTGGAGAGCAAAGATGGGCCTTTCCTTTGAGATACATGACAGGGGAAGTAACTGATAGCTGGTGTGAATGCTCAACAGGAGCAGCAAGCCTGAGCAGAGGCACAGCCCCTTAATCTCGTATAAGAGGTGAAAAAAAGGTGTGGATAAAAAGTAGGTACAAAATAGACAGGGGGATGTTAAGAATAGTATAGGAAATGGAGAGGCCGAAGAACTTATATGCACACATGGACACAAACTAAGGGGGGGGGGGTATTGCTGGAGGGAATGGGAGTACGGAGCAGAGAAGGGGGAAAACTGGGACAGTTGTAATAGCATAATCAATAAAATATATTTTTTAAGAAAAGAGCCACCTTGATAAGAAAGATAAGCAGTAGAGAAATGAACTGATTCACTTGGTGCTAAGAACTTGAGAGGGTCGCTGATTTTCACTTGGCGTCCTTGAGCTAGCTATACCTTTGTTGTACCCATGGCTTCCTGGGGTGAGGGTGAGCCCAACATTCAAATTAGAGCTACTGGGGAATACCTTTAAGCTCCCAGGTCAACCTGCCTACCTTGGTGAACCTTTTCAGTGGCAGGTTTGCAAAGGGGGCTGGAAAACCCAGCAAAAAGTATGACTCACTTACTCTGAACTCACTTACTCTAAAACAACTGTTAAGTGTCCTGAATCATCTGTTCTTAAGTGATGGAACAGCGGCCCCTCAAATGGGTCTCTTTCTCCTGAAGCTGTCAATTTCTGGCAGGTAGTGCCTTTTCTTATATATGTATAGTTCTGAGCTGTCTGGAGACAACGTCTTTAACTACATTACACTAAAGGAAGAAATTGTTCAGAAGGAAAATGGATCCCAATCTGTCTTTTTGGTGATCTACTGAAGACAGAGCATGATGATGACAGTGCTTCTGCAGAAATACTCTTGGACTTCCACCAAGATGGAGGCATAGGTGGAAGCATTGTGCCTTCTCCCACAACTAAGTTTAAAAACAACAAAGTTTTAGCAACAAAAACGCAGCCAAACCACAGAAAATTGAACTACACAGAAGTCCAACAACAACGAACCCTTCAGCCAAACCGGTAAGAGGGGCAGCGCCAGCAGCAGAGCGGGGTCGGGCAGGAAAGATCCACTGGACCGACCAGGGCAAGAGACCCAGGTGTGCCAGCAGCCGTGTGTGGATCCCAGGTGTGGAGAAATGGGCAGACCCACAAAGGGTGCAAGGCGTTGGACCCACTGAGGGCTGATCAAGGTCACACATTCGTGCGCAGATAAACCAGTGAAGGAGCTAGCAGTGACACAGACCTCGCAGGCCCCAGTGGCAGGAAGCAGCAGAGGGAGCCACCACTGTCCCTCTCTGACCCCGCCCCCACATACATCGTCACAAACCAGTGACCTGAGTCGCCCCACCCTGGTGAACAACTAAGGCTCCGCTCCTTATACATAACAGGTGAGAACAGAGCAAAACATGGCTCAAGAACAACTCAGAGCCACAGAGCCAATAAATCTAAGGGATGAAGACATATCCAAACTTTCAGATGCACAGTTCAAAACACTGGTGATCAGGATGCTCACAGAACTGGTTGACTTTAGTCACAAATTAGAGGAACATATGAAGGTTAAACTAATTGAAATGAAGGGAAATGCACAGGAAACCAATAGTAATGGAAAGGAAACTGGGACTCAAATCAAAGGAGTGGACCAGAAGGAGGAAAAAAATGACCAAACAAAAAAGGATGAAGAAACAAGAATTCAAAAAAATGAGGAGAGGCTTAGGAACTTCCAGGACACCTTCAAACATTCCAATATCCGAATTACAAGGATACCAGAAGGGGAAGAGGAAGAGCCACAAGTGAAAAACTTATTTGAACGAATAATAAAGGAGAACTTCCCCAATCTGGCAAAGGAAATAGACTTCCAGGAAATCCAGGAAGCTCAGAGAGTACCAAGGAAGTTGGACCCAAGAAGGAACACACCAAGGCACATCATCATTACATTAGCCAAGATTAAAATGAAGGAGAGAATCCTAGAAGCAGCAAGACATAAGGGGACAGTCACCTACAAAGGAGTTCCCATCAGACTGTCAGCTGATTTCTCAAAAGAGACCTTCCAGGCAAGAAGGGGCTGGAAAGAAGTATTCCAAGGCATGAAATCCAAAGACCTACAACCAAGATTGCTCTATCCAGCAAAGCTTTCATTTAGAATGGAAGGGCAGATAAAGTGCTTCTCAGGTAAGATCAAATTCAAGAAGTTCATCACCACCAAGCCCTTATTATATGAAATGTTAAAGGGACTTACCTAAGAAAAAGAAGATAAAGAAACATGAACAGTGAAAGGACAGCAAACTCACAGTTATTAAGAACCACACCTAAAACAAAAGCAAACTAAGAGGACAGCTAGATCAGGAGCAGAACCATAGAAATGAAGATCACATGGAGGGTTAGCAAAAGGGGAGTGGGAGGAGGAGAAGGGGGGAGAAGGTACAGAAAATAAGTAGCATAGACGGTAGATAGAAAATAGATGGGGGGGAGGGCAAGAATAGTATGGGAAATATAGAATCCAAAGAACTTGAGACACATGGTCATAAACTAAAGGGGGGGAATGGTAGGGGTGGAGGGGAATGAAGGGGGGAAATAGAACAACTGTAATGGCATAATTAGTAAAATATATTTAAAAAATTAAATATGAAAAAAAAGAAATACTCTTGAACGCTTATCATGAGTCTGCTTTTCTGCATGGTGCCCTTTCATCTGTTACACCATTTCATGTTTATATAATTATGTATACGACAACTGCATTTTGCAGATGAGGAAGCAAGGTCTTAAGCTAAGTGACTTGTCCAAGGTGGTACCGCTGACTCTTACACCTGCCTGCCTGCCTGCTTGCTTGCCTTCCTTCCACTAAAATACAGTTCAATGAACTGAAATTCCCATAAAAAAACTTGAGGGTTCTGAAGTCTGGCTTGAGCTCCCAAACCACAGTTGAGAGCAAGTCTTATAGAACGTGCCAGCACATGGCTGAAACTTGAAGATCTTGAGGGTCTCAACTGTTCTTGTCATCAGTTTCCAATTTGTCTTAGAAAAAAAAAATCACACAACTACTTGGTGCTTTGGTTTCCCTGAACTGAGAAATTGGAAAAGTGTTATCTATGCACTTTAACTCTTAAGAATGCCATGACATATATGTACATCCATCATGTCCATCATGTGGTTTAAAATACATGTCATTTTTTAAGTTAGTATTTCTCATGCAGAGTCACCAACTGCATTACCAGCTATAGCCTTAATATTCCTTGCCAGTTCTCAGAGAAGGAAAGCAGAGAACGGTGGAAGCAGTGGCCTTACCAGCAGTAGTCCAGCAGGTGTGGCGGCAGGACGGGGATGTACACGTGCTGCCAGAACATGGGGTAGAGCATGGAGGCGGACCCGTGGATGCAGGCGGTCAGCTGCCAGAGAAGCAAAGCAGAGGTCAGAGCTAAGAGTCAAATGAGGAGATACTGTACTACTAGAGTTCAGCAATAAAATTAAATACATATTTCTCAATGTATTTCAAATAAGTTAACTCAATCATCCTAATTTAAATTTAGTAAGAGGCTGCTTTTCAGAAAAAAAATCTATTTTTTCCTGATTATCAAGCTAATGTACGTGACAATAGAAAATTTAGAAAGTGGAAAAAGGGATAAAAGAAAACAAAAATCTTCACCATCTGAAAATAATTTAATATTTTGGGGTATTACATACATATGCACTTGTATTTCCTTTTCTAATAAAATCAGGATTATTATAACCACAGTGTTCATTTGCTCTTTTTTTGTAAGCATGCTCCTTTTTCTTTAAGTTAACATTATTTGCTGGCATTTCCCCACATCTTTACATATTCTTAAGAAACATATCTTTTAATGCCACTCATAAATTTCCCCTATTATATTTAACCACTCTTCTACCATTAAGTTATGTAATCAGATCAGGTCAGTAATTCTTATAGCTGGCTCCTAGATATAGAATTCAGAGACAAAGGTTATAAATATGTAAGGTACTTAATAACTATAGTAATATAAACATAATAAATGCATTCATACAGTAACAGAGGAAGGACAGAGGGCCTTTACACCAGCCCAGCTGTGTAATGCAATGTCCCCTTGTGCCTCGCCAGCACTAAGAACTGCAGTCAAGTTACTAGCTTTAAAACTGTATCTATCTTGATTTTTTTTTAATTCCTCTTATCATGACTGAGGCTGAACATCTTGTCATATGTTTCTGGACGATACTTCTTAGGTCTTCTTAGGTCTGCTCCTAGTCGTAGGCCACTTTTTCTAATGACTGTTAGTATTTTTAAAAATTGATTTATAAGCAAAGAGTAGATATGCAAAGGACACTAATCCTGTGCAATGTTTAAAAACAAAACTTTATCCTTATTTTTTTTTGAATTTTTGAAGTGAAGAGGTTTAAATAATTATATAGACAAATATTTTCCTTCATGATAATGTCCATTGCTTTTATACTAAGAAAGTCCCCCAAATCTTTCCCCAGCATTTTGCTTTAATCCACCTGGAATGAATTTACATTTAAGGAGTGAGGTGAGAATTTATTTTTTCCGTATAGATAATCAATTGCCCCAGCACTCTTAGCTGACTAATACTTCCTCTCCCTATTCTTTGGACATGCCCCTATTTCATGTTCCTTTTTCCCTTAAGAGCTAGACACATCATACAATCAATATCTAATATAATTAAAAATTTGGGAAACAAAGATAAATGGAATAAAATTGCTATGAAATTCAATACAGTGAAAAAAGAAAAAAACCAACACCTTGGAAGATTGGCTATGAAGTGACAAAAGCCAACAACACATGTTTCTTTCTGTCTTGTTTCTTTGGTTTCTGGGAAGCCTGTTCCCAGGAGGACTTTGCTTCTTTTGGAAGCTGTTAACTGGCCTTTGCTGACAGAAGGACATTTACGTGGCAAAAGAGTGACATGCCAAGGCCCAGTTAAAAGAATCCCAGAGGTTAGTGTAACATGAACAGCTTTAAATTGGACATGCTGCTGATGTATCACAGTTGTGAGAGCTGTGTATTAAATCCAGGGCCACTACTCCCCCGACCCCTTTTCCCTCCAGACCCTGTTCTTTAAATCAGGTACATGTCACGAACAGGAGCTGAGCTAGCAAACCCTCTAGAGCTGTTCCCAGCAACACCACCAAGGCTTGTAGGTTTAATCCACTATTTTCAACCCATTTTAAAATGTTTCCTTATAAAGGAGGCTATCTGTCATATTACACATGACTAATTTCTTCAGGCACAGAAGAGATGAGAAATGTTTGCTGGTGTTGAATGAATGGAAAATGAACCAACTCCACCCTGAAGTCTGGCTGCAGTATGAAACTGGCCTTGGACCCCAGCTCTTTCTGCCCATCCTTTAGCTGCCAAAGTACTCTTACTGAAGTGCAGGTCCAGTCATAGAAAATCCTACTTGGAAGTCTTTGGCGCACATCTAGAATAGGCATGTCTCCACCAATTCCCAGTCTACCTGGAGAGGAGCATCTCCGGCCACAGTCTCTACTGCCTTCTCCAAGTGTATTCTTAGGATAAAGCACTTGCAGACTTAGAAGAAGGTATGTACTCCTCTCTCCCCTTCTCTCTTTCTACCTGTTCCCTGAACTGGCCCAGATCTGTGCACATAGCGAACTCCTCCTGCCTCAGGTCTCTGTGCAAGTGCTACTTCCTTCCATGGCTCACCTCGGCATACCCCCCATCAGTAATGCGGCTACAACTGCCTGCATATTTGTCCTCTCCTTGTAAAGTCCAGAAAGAAGACCTGTCTCTCTTTTCTTCTTCACGTTCTTGGTGTGTGTGTGTATATGCTAATGTAATGTTTCTTGAATAAATAAAAAATAATTCTACTTAAAATATATTCACAATATAAAAATAGCTACTGGCTTGGCTTTGAACATTACTGGACCAATTATTTTCATGAGTCTCACAGACTGGGGTATCTAACTCAAATTCCAAAAAATAACGGCAAGCTAAGACACAAGATATGTCACTTCTTGGAAAACTAAGTCAATGAATTCATTCATTCATCCATTCAATAATATGCCTACTCTAGAACTCTACAACACAACAAATAAATAAAAGCACTTTATAAGGTGCCATACAAATGTAAGGTATCATCACATGAATTCATCTGTGATCCTCTTTGTCATTCAATAGTATGTTCCTGGCTGAGACAGAACTTAATTACTTGCCTCTTTTAAGCTTAAACTGGTTTGAGTCTAAATCCTATTTCAAGTGTTAAAGTGGCACAGATCTTATCTTCAGTTTCTTTCTCTTGTCCCCTTAACCTAAAAAAAAAAAAAAAAAAGCCCTACAGAGCTGAATGCCAAGATTTTAAAATTTCTTATTGCTCATAAAAAATAAATGTTTAAGGTATTTGGTAATCATTTTCATTGGGGATTTTCTAAGGGCCAAGTCTCTGCAATTGGAGTAAAATACTTTTACCCACTTGATTAAGAAAATAAACAAACAAAAAGGGAATTGCTGGGCTTTTTTACCAAATACTAAATATCACAAACAATGTGCATTGTTACTTAGGAACAGTGGCTAATTTGATCACAAGAAAAGTCTTACGATATACCCTATGCTTAATCAGGAATACCATATTATGTCCTGTAAATTATCATTAGCTACTTATTTAAAAAATAAATCTAAAACCAGCCCTATTTTTAAAAATACGGATCCTAAAGGCCTATGCTCATTTCTTAGAGGATACAAAATTTAAAAGTAATGAAAATATACATTTGGGTTGTAGTAAACAAAAAGACATTGTGAATATTTAATTGAAGTGTAAGTTGAGGAACATGATCCTATCAAAATCTCACTCAGTGGGAGAATAGAAAGATAGTATGTGTAAAATTTGCCCAAAGTCATTAGTCACAATGAATATTCATCAGAAGCCAATTATCAATCCCATTTAATGACACCCCAAAAGATTTTGCCCTGAAGCAGCTGAATAGTCTAAGACTCCAGACAAAACTAGACAAATTATACAGCCAACAGCCAGTCTAGCCAGGACACAGATTGTAAAGTAAACCACTGGTGGGTTTTTGGACGCTCTTTTAGCAAATTCTGTCCTCAATTAAAGATGCACAAGGTCACTTCTATCTTGGAGCTTTCTATATGGCTTCATTAGTTTTCTTTGAGGCAAAGGGAGAGAAAGGGAGAAGGGAGTGGGATAGGACATGAATGAGGATTGATCAATGATAGAGGTGAAAAAAATCATAAAGACATTTTTGTTTTATTTTAAGGCATTTCTCAGAGATAATACCCAGATTATCACAGTCTTAGATCCCAGAGGTAGCTCTGAAATTTAACATGGGATAAAAGTAAGAATCCCACCCTTAAAAAAAAAAAAAAAAAAGAATCCCAACAGTATATGTGCCAGGCACCAGGGTGGGGGTTTAGAATTTTACAAAGTGCTATTTTAAAAGTGTGTGTGCGTGTTTACACACATACACCCTCATCGTCACATTTCACAGATAAGGAAACAATCTCAGTGGTGAAATAACTTGCCCACAGCCACATAGCTAGTGACAGAACTGGGACTCACATCCAGGTCTGTCAGACCACAATGGCCACTTTGTTTCCACAATGCATAAATTAACTTAGAAAATGTTTTGAGTGCCTACCCTGTGCCCATACATTGTGCTGAGGATTTTGAACTAGCTGAGGTACTGTCCCTTATGAGCACGACCAAAGTATGCAGAGATACATTTGCCTTGGTGTTAGATGAACAAAATATCTAGGGCAAAATACCAATTAAACAGAAAATAATAATTTATAAAACAAACACAGATCTGACAATTTCCTGGGCATTAGTTACATTTAACTAAGGTGTTGTAGTGCCTTCAATCCACAGGAAATTCTAGACTATGAAGTAATGATTGTCGAAGTGAAAGGTTTACATCCCAATCTGGCACACCTATTCCAAAGCCTGGGTTTCTGTCATGTTCCCTTTTACATACTTGCAGAGAGTTTCCACTAATTCCCTTTTTTGATCTGAGCAAACCACTTCCTCTCCTGGGTCTCAATTTCCCCTCTATGGAAAACAAGAGGTTGGCCTACATGATCCCTCTGCCCTCTTCCAACTTTGACAACTTAGGACCTAGAGGAATTGCTGTCCTTTGATGTGAAATATGCATCTCCTCTGCCCCAGCTCCCCATCTGACTAAATATAAGAAAAACAGGGTATGTCTGAAAGTTGGTCTTGCTTTCTCATCTCTGCAGCTATAGGGCCCCCTAGAATTTACATGCTATCTAGGCACCAGCACCTCTCAGCCCCTCCCGTCTCCAATACCTGGCTGTGGAGAACACAGTCTTCCCCTGGGCTTGGCTCCTGACCCTCTGACAGCTCAGAGGCAGATGACTGTAGGAAACCAGGGACATGAGAAT